AATGAACTCCAGAAATGGACTGCCAGGCCTTTCTTCCATGATGCCACTGGGTGGACTCGAACCACCAACCTTTCAGTTAGTAGCTGAGCTCAAATAATTTGTGCCACCCAGCAGGGCAAATAGGCCAGCGGCCCATATACCTTTTTCTCCAGAATAGCCCAGACTCAGCTACAAAAAAAAGAAAGACAAGGAGCGTTTAGTTAGGAGGTAAGGGCAATTAGGGTAGGTCTCTCTGAGGAAGTGATATTTAAGCTAAAACCTGAAGGAATTAGCTAGATGGTAAATGAAGGAAAAGCATATAGGACAAGGGAACAGTATTGGCAAAGGCTCTGAACCTTACCACACCAAGCCGGAAGACAGACTCTCTGAGGGAGTTGGGCAGGAGCACAAAGGCCTCAATCTCCATCTGGGGGGTCAAGGACACATTCCCAGGGCTGAAGGTCAGGACTGGGGCAGAGACCACTGCTCCATGGAGCTCCAAATTCATGTTGGGGTACAGCCTGACTATCTGGAGGCAGAAATGGGAGATTATGTCAAGAGTAAGAAATTCACAGGTCTGCCGGGAGAGCCTCAAAGAAGGCAAGTAAAACCGAGAATGCTTTTCAATTGATTTTATTTCTCACAAAATGCTTGACGTCCTTCCCTTATAGCTTGGGCATCATCTAGTTCATGTCTGTATTGTATTTCATTGTGTATGTCTACCGTAATTACTCTAACCCTATGGACTTTAAGATGTCTCCAAGGTTTTGCCATGATAATGATCTGGGTACCCTGTGGCCATTCTTTCAGGGGATATATTCCTAGAAGTGGAATTTCTGAGTCACAGAGCAAGGCCATGTTTAAGAGTTTTGACAGCTATTGCCAAACCACCTTCCAGAATGGTTGGCCAATTTCTTTTACTCTTTCCTTCCTAGCGCAATGTGTGAGAGCTAATATTTCCCCAACCTTCATCATGCTTGAGCTGAGGCCAGGAGCCAATGTTCTTGAAAAATGAAACAACTAGATCCACCGTCTGAAAAGTGCTAGCAATTTTTTTT